CTGTGGGGGGGGGGGGGGGGGAAGGGGGTGATTATTGCTTTGAGTAAGAGAGAGGGGAGTAAATGGGGATGTGGTGGGAAGAAGGTGCCAGAACGGGGGGGCTCTGGAGTGAATGGGCCCACACCCACACAAAGACTTGTACTCAAATGCTCAAAGCAGCTTTATTTCTAATAGCCCCTAAAGGGAACCAACCCCAACGTCCATGCACAGGTGAGAAGGTGAGCAAATTGTGCTATAGCTGTGCAGTGGAATACTGCTCAGCAATAAAAAGGAATGAACTATTTACACATGCAACAACACGGATGAATCTCAAAATAACAATGCTAAGTGAGAGAACCCAGACCAAAACGAGTACATACGGAATTATTCAACTTGTATGAAACTCCAGAAAATGCAAACTGATCTATATAGTGACAGAAAACAGATCAGTGGTTGCCTGCGGACAGAAGTAGAAGGAGGAAAGACGTCCAAGGGGTATGAGGAAAGTTTTGAAGGTGATGGATATGTTCATTATCTTAATTGTGGCGATGGTTTCACCTGTGTACACATGTCAAGTCTCATTAAATTGTACACTTTACATGTACCTCAATTGTATTTACATCAGTTTTTTGTACTTTTATATGTACATCAAGTGTACCTCAATAAAGTCGTAATAATAGCAGTAATAATAATAATAAATAACCTAAGTACTGAGGAGAATGGACTTATGGGAGGGCTTCCTGAAAAATGAGATGAGATAGTTTTACTTGGATCTGAGAAGCTGAGCCACCAACTTGACCTAAGAGAACGTATCGAGTAAGCTTTGCCTCAAAAGGCTCTCCTAGGTTCTAGTAATGGGAAAAGGGAGATGGGATGAAAAATCACTGAAGTGGAGGGCTAGATTTGCTATTTGGGCGCAAAATCTTATTAGCACCCAAAGGCATATGGGTAGAATGTTGACATCTTATTTGCTCGATACCTGCTTCTTTTAGACTTGGTCTCATTCCCCTTAGGACCATTGGGATCTCACTCTGCCCAATCTTCCCCTCTCAAACTGCATTAAGTGTGGCTGCACCAGGGAAAACAGCAGAGGAGAGAGGAGAACATTGGAGAGAACCCCTCTGACTCCATTGCACCCGTTCCTGACTCCATTTCTTCCTGGGGTGTGGGAGCTGTATGTGGGGGCAGGTAGAAGGAAGCACACCTCAAACCCAGCCTGACAACAGAAGCTAAGCTCTGCCTTTCTGAGTGCTTAGAATCTTTCAAAATGAATGAGGCTGAACATTTCTGAAATTTAAGAGAAAAGAGTACCTCTCAGATACTAAGAGGTAAGGGTCAAGAGTCCTTAGGACCTGGTTTTCTTTTGCTTCAGAACTGAAACCTGTCCTTCGCTAGCCGAGTTCCCTTGCCCTCTCTCCTCTTCCACCCCATTCCTCTCTGTCCCTCTCCACATCCCTGAAGCCCTAGACAATGTCCCCAGGTAGCAATCAATTGTTCAACACTATCTGGGTCCCTTCCCAAACCTCAGCCTTTATGATGATGCGAGTTTTTATCAGCACTGCGCTGTGCCCTTGGTTTTAGATTTCCCTCACAGGAGCAGGAGTTAAAGTGAACATTTTCCTTTTTCTTTATACTACAGGACCTTAAAATCAGGCAATTATTGAGTCTTGGCCTATTTAAACCATGCAAAGAAACTTAAATTTCAACTGTCAGAACCTAAAGAAACCCTGGTGACAGGACTAATAATAATTAGCTGGCAGGCTTGGCATCTGCATCAGAATCACCTGGCATGCTAGTTATCAAGGCCAGTTCCAGGACCCCATTCCAGACCTTAGGAATCAGATGCTCTGGGAATGGGGCCTGGGAATCTGATTCTGATGCACTGTAACAATGTAGGAGACCCTTTGCTTTAAAGGAACAGAGTGAGTCTCTTTGCTCCTTCTTTCATATTTTACTCTTGCCATGTTTTTTTTCCTTCGGAGCCTGTGATGAGAAGTTCTTAAGAATGTGTAACAGGCATAGACTTGTTTTCCTGGGCCTAGAGTAAGATGGGGAGGGGAGGTGGGGCTGGGAAGAGGTGTGCCAATGCAAATATTGTCCCATCAGGATGTGGCGATTTTGCCAGGAGGCTACAGGGATGTGCCCGTTGCTAGAGAAGGTGGCTTGGTTCCCCGTGTTCCAGGCTGAGGAGTCTGGTGTCACGGGAAAGGGCAGAGATCAAACACTGCTGGTGCTTGAGGGGTAGAATGGAACAGAAATAATTGGGTTGATGCCAGGGGATTGCTGGAATTCCCCTGGCTCCAGGAGAGGTGTGGGTTGGTAACCAGGGAGACCCTTAGGGGGAGGAGAAGGTGTGGAGGTAGGTTAGACTTAGATTTCATTCAGGGCCTGATATCCATACTGGATAGAGGGGATACTTCATTGTCCTTGATTTTGGGGTCAGAAGTTGGGAAGGGAGCCAAGGCTTGGGAATGCCAGGACACCAAATCTATTGCACCCATCTGACTAATGGAAGGTGGTGTCTGACCAATTCACAGAGGACTCATATCAGGGTTGGAGGTAGTGCTTCCATTCAGTAATCCATCCATCCATCCTCCCTGTCTCACACACAAAGCAAGCCAATCGGGCTGACTTCCACTTACTCTGCCAAACTCAACTTTTCCACCTTTCCTAAGTCCCTGGGTGTGTTGAGTGTCCTTCGCGGTACTGCCAGAGAGCCTCATGCTTGCCCATGTTATATGACCTAGCACCATGTTATAATTTTTGGCTTCATCTCTATCTCCCCAACTGACAATGTGCATTGTTGTCATGGCCAACTCAAGGCCTCTCACAGAATAGACAGATGCTCAGAAGCCCACGAGAATTGCTCTGGCTATGAGTGTGGACCCTCTGGGGGCTGGGGACTCTCTGGGGGCTAGCACTTTAGGCCTCCTACATAGTGGGGACAGACTTAGTCTAGGCAGAACAATAGACACCAGGCCAGCCTCCTGCCCACTCTGCCCTGTGTCACAGGAAGCTGCCAAGGATCACAGCTCTAGCTGGCAAGTAATGAGATTTTCTCCTGGAAGGATTCTTGGCTTGATAACTGGTCCTTGCCTCTTCTAACCTTCTTCGATACCCTCAGGCTTCTGGGGACATGGAGGATGGGAGGAAGAGTCTGAGGCAGCCCCAGCTTTTACTGTTTCCCAAAGCCCTCTGCCCACCCCTTATCTCCCCCAGGTGTATAGGGCAGGGATTCCCAAGAACACAGAATTTCCCAATCCTGGGTAGAGATGGAGGCAGGGCTGGTCACACATTTGGGGCTAGAATGGTGCTACCTCTGGCCACACATGTTCCACCTCTACCTCTGGCCTTTTTTAGCTTTCACTAACCAAGATAAGCCTGAAGCCCACCAGACTGAGGAATGGGCCCAGTATCAAGAGGAGGAGACCCAAACCCAATTCTCAAAGAATTCACTCCAGTGACACACAGTGGGCACGTCTCTGGTTGGAATATCCTTGTCTCTGGAAAAGCCCCTCAAACCCCTCGATGGAGACGGCTACTACAGAGGCCTCCCCCTAGCCCAGGAAACACACCCAACCACAGCTATTTTATTTTCCTTTTAATTTTTCTGAAGGATATACACCACATATCCCATGGGCAGTAAAGCGCATTCAACGTGTTTATAAGCCAAACAGTCACTTTGTTTAAGCAAACACAAGTACAAAGTAAAATAAAACCACAAAATAATGAACTGCATGTTCATAACATACAAAAATTGCCGCCTACTCAGTAGGTAACTACAACATTCCAACTCCTGAATATATATATAAATTTACATTTTCAGTTAAAAAAATAGACTTTTGAGAGTTCTGATTTTTAGATTTTGTTTTCTTACATTCTGGAGAACTGAAGCTCAAGCTCAGCCCTTTTCCTTATTTTGCTCCCAAAGCCTCCCCCGAATCACCACTCCTTGCCCCCCTTAAGGCTAGAGGTGAGCACATCCCTCACAATTGCACATGTCAAGCCGTCAGCAAGGCGCATCACACAGAAGGCACCAAGACGTGAAACTTTTTAAACCAAAAAAGACAAAAAAAACCCCAAACCTTTCAAAAAAAGGAGAAAAACCAAGCCATATTTTGCCACATGTGAGAGTACAGTCGGGCAATATTTACAAAAAGGTTAACAGAACAACACTCTGAAACATGCTCTGATTAATACCGAGAATTGCTGTTTCAAAAAAAGCTTCAAACTTAATTGTCACAGCATCATCACAAAACAAAGGATCACCATTGGTTTGCTTGGCTTTTCTTTTTTTTTTTTTTCCCCCAAAGTGAGGATTCTAATTCCAAATAATACAATAGAGTATGCAAATTATTTCACATCAAGAGTACCCCAAGAAAAACAAAATCCATGGCACAGACACTGTACAAGAGTACAAGGCTGGACTCTGAGGGGCCCAAACCCCATTTTGCCAACTTGATTTTCTAGCATTGAAGGGAGCAAGGGGTCAGGCATATGATGGAGATGATACTGAAATGATATATCCAAAATCCATGCAAATCAAGTTCTTTGGATAGAAGTGAAGACCTTGCACATGGCTGTTTCAGGCAGCTGAAGTCAAAGGGATTAGGTCCTGGGGAGGAAAGGGAAGTGGACAGAAAGAATTGTTGGCCAACAGACTTTCCACAGCGACCCTGGGGTCAAGTAGAGGAGGATTTGGCTCTGACAACCTCCATCTGACTTAAGAGGAGCCCCCTCCTACGGCCATCTCCTCCTCCTGTCCTTTAAGTCTCTTGTGTTTCATTTCCTCCCTTTTTCCTTTCCTTTCAGCAAATTTCAATTGTCCTGGGAGAAAACGTGGTTGTCATGTCCGAAAGCCCTGTGGAGGCGCTGAAGGAGTTGGTGACAGCTGAGGAAGGGAAGCTGCTGACCTGGGCAGGGAAAGCAGGAGGAACGGAGGAGTATGTGGTAGCCACGGAAGGTGATGGGAAACCACTGTGCACAGGCGATGGGTAGGTTGAGGAGCCAGGAGAGGAGTAGGAGGTGGGCACGGGTGATGGGTATGAGGTGGTGGCTGGGGATGGGTAAGAGGTAGCCACTGGGGATGGGTAGGAAGGGAGAGAGGAGGTAGCGGCAGAGGCCACACTTTTGTCTGCTTTCTTGTCCTTCTGCCGCAAGTGGATTTTGGTATGCCTCTTGCGTTCATCACTCCTGGCAAACTTTCTCCCACAGATGTCACAGGCGAATGGCTTCTCGCCTGTGTGGGTGCGGATGTGGGTGGTGAGGTGGTCGCTGCGGCTGAAGTTGCGCATGCAGATGCGGCACTGGAAGGGCTTCTGGCCAGTGTGGATGCGGATGTGGCGGGTGAGCTCATCTGAGCGAGAGAAGCGGCGGTCACAGGACTCCACGGGGCAGGCGTAGGGGCGTTCATGGGGGGGAGTCTTGCTGGGTCGGTTGGGGTACTTGCGCATGCGGCTGGGTTTGATGAGCTGGGACTGGTAGGTGGTGTTGAGGGCCTTCAGGTCCTGGGAGCCCGACTGTGTGGCAAAGGCTTTGATGGTAGAGAGTGGAGTGAGCGAAGGCTGCTGGGTACGGCTCTCCAGGCCCTGGAAGGGTTTCTGGTCTGGGGTGCCCAGGCCCAGGTCCCCCTGCTGTTGTGGAAACAGATAGTCAGGGATCATGGGGACCTGGAAGCCACCCTTGGCAGCAGGGTAGGCAGGAGGTGGGTACTGAAGCGCGGTGCCTGCTGAGCCTGGAAAGGCCTGACCTTGTGGCTCAGGGAAGATGTCGGTGTTAGGTGTGGGGAAGGTGGGTGCCGCTGAGTAAATAGGGCTGCTGTCGTTGGACTGCACTGCGCAGCTCAGGGGTGGGCTCTGGGAGGCAGAGGAGGAGGCCGCTGGAGATGATGCTGAGGATGAGGTGGCTGGGGGGTTGGTCATGCTAACGAGGCCGCTGACCAGGCTGAAGAGGGGCTCAGGCCATAAGGTGTTGCCACTGTTGGGTGCAGGCTCCAGAGAGAAGCGGCCAGTGTAGGTGATGGGGGGCAGCCGGGTGGTTTGGCTGGGGTAACTCGTCTCCACTAGAACCTTCTCGTTATTCAGAGTGATGTCAGGAAAAGACTCTGGCAGGAGAGAGAGGGAGGAGGCCTGGTTACTGGAGAGCAATCACTGGAGGGCGAGGAGGACCCAAGCTGCCAGGCGAGAGGTCGGGCCAGCTACCATTGACTCTTGAGCTGGTCAATAATTGATAGCAGCAGATTGCAATGTTCCTGGACCCGCTCCAGAGGCAGAACCCATTTCAACAACAGCTGACGCAAATACGGAGAATCCCCCTCCACTGCAGCTCCCAGCGTTCCGCAGCAGCGGCTGCGAGGGCGAGGGATTCCCGCCAGCACCCCCTCGGCCACCGCTAGTGCGCAACCCCTACCCCGGGCTGCCGGGACATCCCTGGCCAAGGATCACGGTCCTTCCCTGGGGACAGGCGGCAGGCTAGCCTTCCTGGAAGCGGAGGGGGCGCAGCCCTGCTCGTCAAAACAAGTCCTCCCCCCTCCCCCCACCCCCGCAGCCCCACAGCTCTCCATCCAAAACAAAAGCTGGCCCCCCTGCGCACCGTTAAGGACGAGGAGGGGGTGGGGGGATGTCCCCAGGCATTCCTCTAACACAGGACCTTGGGGATGAGAGGAATGGAAGGGAAATCCCACTTGCATCCCTTAAGTCCAGGAGCACTGCCGCGGTGAAGGGGGCGCTGCAAAGGCCGTGGGGAAGGACCAGACGCCAGGATGGTGGCGAAGGGGCTAGCCCTCGGCGTAGGCCACAGCTTACCTGCGGTCAGGTGCTCGTAGGGCTGCTCGCCTGCCTCCCCCTGAGGGTTGAAGGCGCCGCCGCTGCTGTTGCTGTTGCTGCCGCCCCCTCCACCTCCACCGCCCCCGCTGCTGCTGCTGTTACCGCCGCTGCCCTCCGGGGCCCCGGAGGCACCGAGAAACTGGGGAGCCCCATTGCTCAGCAGCATCATCTCCTCCAGCTTAGGGTAGTTGTCCATGGTGGGCGAATGAGGAAAGGAGCCAAAGGGGTCGGAGATCTGCAGCGGGGACATCAGCTGCATCTCGGCCTTGGCTGCCGCCATCCCGGACTGGCGGGCTGGAGAGCTGGTGTTGGGGCGGGTGGGCGCAGCCCGGGGAAGGAGCTGCGGGGGACACCTCTCGGGGGCCTGGCCAGGGCACATGCGGGGCGCGGGGCACACTGTGGAGAGCGCAGGTGGG